CTAATGTCCTGTTCACACCCATCCTTTCATACTGTACATCCGAAGTGTTTTAAATGCCAGAGATTGAAAGAGGTTGTGCAGCCAAAAAAAGAAGAGAGATTTCAAATGAAGAAATAAATTATTCTGTCAGTCTACAGTAGATAAGATAAAAAGCAATGGGCTAAATTGCAGCAAGTGATAGATGGGGCAGACATTGGGAATAAGATACTGTGTGGACACTGAAGCCCTGGGACAGACTGTCTAGAGAAGCTGTGGAGTGCCTGCTGCTGGAGGTTTTTAACCACCACTCAGACAAGCATCCAGCAGGATGGGGGATAGATAAACTAGGCAATCTCTTAAAATCCCTTCCAGTTTTATTTTTTATGATTCTGTGAGTAGGCTTGTCATACTGAAATATTTCTCTGATTAGGGTCTGGTGCTATCCCTTGCCTACTGTAAGGCCATTTTTCCTTATGTTGTTATAGAACTTTGATGATGAATAGAACACAGATGTCTAGTTTGCTCTCAGAAGCTGATTTTTCAGCTGGTCAGAATATGAAGTTGCTGACAGATTTCCAACAGAGCTCAGTTCTAGAAGCACCCTTGTTTCAGATATAATGGGACTTTCTAGGTCAAGCATCCTGACATTTTCTACAAATATGCTTAAGTAAAGATCACTGTCATGCTCAGACACTTAACTGTATTTGCATAACTCACCTAGTTACAGAATTCTGTTGGAGGAGAATCCTCAACCTCATGTGGTCCCACTGAGGTTTAAACTGAGAAGTTCTATCAGCCACCTGCACTGAGACAACATCAAGCCTGAGATCAGTTGCTAAGTCTCAACTGTCATACGGGAACTAGTTAAGTCACAGCACTGTGGTTAATGACTGACTTCAAAGATTAACTCACATTGAAGAAAATATTTCAGGAGTCCAGGAGCCAAACACTAACCGGTACTGTTCCTTAGGCATCCACTTTAAGCCAACCTAGAGGCACACTATGAACATTCAAAGATGCTTGTTCTGACCACCCACAGTTGTTATGCTGTTAAAATGTTTGAATGAAATTTCTAAATTGATTCTGAAAATGGCACTGTCCTGGGTTCTTTGGACTTTGAATTTAGCTCCTTTTGGTTTAAGTGATATTCAGGTGCTTTTGAAAAAGTCATAGCCCTTTTCAAAATCTTCAAGGACACGCTTAACTACATGCACCTCCAACAAACACTGCTGAAGAGGAATGCATGAGAGCATATACTCCTGGACATATGTACTTTCAAACATGTTTCTCATCTCTTTAACCATATCACACCTAAATAAGACAAAGTCTTTTAGAATTTCGATTCTACATGCACAGCTGTCCTGAAGGAATACCCAGAGCAGGATGCTGAGGACAGTGTAATTGTAAGTCAAAGTCAACAGCAAGAGCTGTCTAGAGTCTTAAACTACTTCAGAGAAAGTGCAGTACCAATATTAGTCTTAATACAGTTATTTCCTTATCCACCATCTTATAATTATTTTGTTTGGTTTAATTCCAGTATTCCATTTTTGTTCCTGGATGTCCTGATTTTAAACAATTTAATTCTGAATGTGAATTAGCACCTTTGATATCACACACCTACACACACATTTTTGTCTTATTTGTGTTTTATTTTTATTTCAGATCAGGTGCCTAATTGTAGCTTATGGGACCGCAGGGTGCTTGGATTTTAATTGTATGAAGTTCAGGCAGAAGTGACTATAAAAGCATCAAAGAAAAATAATAGTTTGTAAGTGCAAGCAAAGAGAAGCTGAGATTTACATAATGGATTTAGTCAGACACCCCTACTGTTTATAGAAGGAAAAGTGCACATACACAATAAATAAATTACACTGTGCCATCAATATGCTGCATCTAACTGCATTAGTGGTTCTAGTTTCCCCTTCATGACTTAGGTAGGATAACATATAGGAAAACAAATATTTATTAATTATAGTATTGAAATGGTTTGATAAATCTGCTTATAGACATCAGAAACATCTTTTTATTGCTCCTATGAAGTTATTTATATTTAAAATAAATCCTTCAAGATCTCAAAGTATTGAAAAAATGTTACTGTCATAGTAGGACCCACCATGGCTTGGACCAAAATCTTGTTCTTTGACTACTCCATCTTCAGGCTGCCTTGCTGCATATGCTTTTCATAGTGCCCACCTTCTAAATCTACTCGGTTCAGGAAAGAGCTGTGTAAACCATCTCCTTCATGATGAGGGCATTTTGATCTATTTTCAACAAGACATTGCAAAATGATCTTCTTAAAATGCTGTTCAGATTAGATGAATTTCATTTTAATGTGGCAATGTATTGGTTAGAAATTGTTAAATTATTAAATACATTTTTTGTGGAGACTGAACCTTGTTTGAAAAGGAAGCATATAGAAATTGGATTGGTTTTGATGAAATTAATATATATGGCTTCCAGATTTCTTTTTATCCTCTTCCTCCGCATTTTTTTCCCAGTGTTTTTCTGTGACTTTTTTATTTTAAAAAGGGTAAGAAGAGGAAGGACTGAAGTATGGAAAAAAATAGGGAAAACAAAAAATGCTGGAAGTTTTCTGTGAAATTCTATGTATTTTTTCTTTTTTTTTTTTTAATTAAGAAACTTTAGAATTAACTTTTTCTGTAGTTTCAAAATTGTTAATATTTTAATTCTGGCCAGTTCACTTCTTTTCTCTGTTCAGTGCATTTATGCACTGGAATACATGAGAAAATCTAATATATGTCTATGCTTCCACTTGCAGTAGAAAAATAAAACAAATTAAGGAATGTGTTACTGGAGGTCATAGACAGGATATATTATGGACTTGATTTTGCAAGACACTGAACGCCTGCAGCTTGCCTTGCACTGACTTGTCACATGACCTGCTCTTCTATTAGCTTAATTGCAACGGAAAAGGCACAGCAGTGACAATAGAAATGGAAGACGATGGCAGGAAAAGTCTGGTTGTTAGTTCCATAGGGGTGATGGAAACAGCTCTTCCCAAAGGGTCTTTGCTGAGGAATATAAAAGTAACACAGATGAAAATATCAAGAGCAAACGAAAATGAAGATTTAAGAATAATAGAGAATATTTTAAAACAAGCACAAACTATTTCTGGAGCAATAACTGATCTAAGAAAAAGTTACAAACCTAGATGAATCACATCTACATAAAGGGGCTAATCTAAAATTTAAAAGCATTTTATCAAACAAAGAGAAATAAGCTTTTCTAGTGAGTGATTCAGTCCTTAGGTAGACTGCTTATCTTTTTCTCTTGTGAGGCATCTCAAAGCATGTGGTGATATTCAGATGAAATGAAGCTGGGCAGCAAAGACTGGGGACTATCAGATAGGTCCTTCCACCAGTCTCTGCCTTCAGCTAGGTCACTGGAAGACTGGTACCCAACTTAGAAGGGACTGGTGATTCTCTCTGCCCTTCCAGCAATCCACACTACATATATTTTGAGGTCAGGCAGCTGTGAAGAAATACTTAAAACTTGACCCTTGGCACAAAGAAAGGATCTGGTGAAGAACTCAAAACCCCTATAAAACCCTGTGAAAAGCAAATCCTCCCTTTAGCCACCAGAAGAATGACTATTTTGCCAGCTAACTACTGCTCACTGCCTAGACTCACTCTCAGAACATGCTCGTTGCTGACGGCTCCCTCCTGCTGCTGAGGTCATTTGTTTCACCTGACGATGGCCTGCAGAAAATGCAGGGTATCATTTAAGTGCCTTTATGAGTATCTTTATTTGCCTGAGAACACATACTATACTTCCCGCTGGTGTATTCCCCATATATACTCTCTACACGGTTCAGTGATCTCAGGGCCTTTTCAATAATTCAGGCTGTGTGCTCTGGCTATGTTGTCTTGGGAGAGGAGCCCAGTGCAGTATCGGAGCACTGTGCTTTCTATAGGAAGGAGAAGGACATACATGTAGGCTTCTCTGTGTTCACTGTATCTTTGCTGTAAGCTTCATTTTCAGTCTTGCAGCATGGAGGTCCAGTCCCTCAGATAAAGGTCAAATGTTCTTCAGTGGGAATTTCTCCTGAAAGGTGACTGCAGCATCAAACTTTTCTGCACAAAAAAAAAGTATTTTCCTCACTGAAAAGTCAATATGCAGAAGAAAGATACTTTTGTCCTTTGTAATATAATGCATTTGGAAACATGCTGCCTCCGATGGGAGGCCAAAACAGAGCGTTGCTTTGTTTTATTCCCAGGTTTTCAAGCTCACAATGTTTTCTGTTAATAAATTCAGCCAAAAGAGAGGATTGCAAGGAAAGCCATCACTCCATGAACAACATCTCACCACTGGCACGACCCCGAGATTTACGTGGACCCTCGGCCGGACTCCCGCGGGAGGCTCCGCAGGCGCTTACGCGCTGCCCCACAAATCGAGGGGCCCCTCCGCTACCCACCCCCCTCTCCAGGCAACCACCATTTTGCTCCTCGCACCCCCGGCGGAAGCAGCCGCGGCGCGTCTCTGCGCAAAGCTCCCCACCGTTCTCCGCGGAGATCCGCGCTGCGGGCGCCGGCCCCCCACCCACCCTCCGCCCCACGGCGGCTCGGAGCTGCATTGCGAGGGGGAGAGCGAAGCTGCCTCCACTCCCGCCTCTCTCCGCCCCCCTCCGCGCGGCTCCAGCGGGGCGTTTTCGGCCTCCGAGGGCAGGTGTCGTTGCGCTCCTGTGTGTGTGAGCGTGTGTGAGTGTGTGTGCAAGGCGGGGCCGGGCAGTAGGCAGCCCCGCGCCGGCTGGTACCATCTGGGAGTCGGGGCGTGGAACGGAGGACAGCGCAGGAGGCGGATGAGCATCCTCAAGGCCGAGGCTCTGTGTGCCTTTCCGGGCTCCGCGCCGGCGAGCGAGAGCCTCTTCGCTACCAGTACCGGCGAAGCACCTGCGGATCGGCTTCCCTTCTCTTCCCCCCTGCTGTTTATTTTATTTATTTATTTATTTTAGTTTGGTGCTGCTGAGTTGTTTTGTTTTTTTTTTTGTTGTTGTTGTTGGTTTTTGTTTGTTTTTTTTTTTTTTTTAGCCCTCCGTCAAACACAGGGAGACGCTTCCGAAGCGGGGCGAGCGCTGATCTTACGTAAATGGTGCTGCTCCGGGGAGAGCAGCCCCCCTGCCAGCCCCGGGCCAGGGGAGCGTCCGCCGGTGCCGCTCGCCCTGCCTAGCGGCCGGGCACCTCGCTGCCGCTGCAGCCCGGCCTGAGATCCGCTCTAGCACCGGCAGCGGCACCGGCGGGGACAAGCGGCGAGTACAGCCGGTAGTCCGCAGCCCCATCCCCGGCGGCTTTCGGCTCCTCCGCGGACCGGCTGCGGGGATGCTGCGGAGCGTCGGATCTCGCGGCGTGGAGGGCGCTATGTCAGAGAGATAACGCAGCTCTGCCAGCAGCCCGGGGCCAGTCTCGGTGCCAGCCTTCCCCCGGGACCTGGCTGCCTGGGAGCCACTCGCTTCTCGGCGGCCGGACTGGCAGTGGCGGCGAGGCCGGGGAGCCGCGGGGCGAGGCCCGGCGGGGCGGGGGAGCGTCTGCCGGCCGAGCCGGGGCACCCCGCCTGCGGGGGCCAAGCGGCCGGGAGGCTGAGGAGCGCCGGCAGCAGAGGCGGGGAGGAGGAGGGCAGCGCCATGACTCATTTGCAGGCAGGTCTCTCCCCGGAGACTCTAGAGAAAGCCCGGCTGGAGCTGAATGAGAACCCTGACACCTTGCACCAGGACATCCAGGAGGTGCGGGACATGGTGATCACCCGGCCGGACATCGGCTTCCTTCGCACCGACGATGCGTTCATCCTGCGGTTCCTGCGGGCCAGGAAGTTTCAGCACTTCGAGGCGTTTCGCCTCCTGGCCCAGTACTTTGAATATCGCCAGCAGAACCTGGACATGTTCAAGAGCTTCAAGGCCACAGACCCGGGCATCAAGCAGGCACTGAAGGATGGTTTCCCCGGTGGGCTGGCTAACCTGGACCACTACGGCAGGAAGATCCTCGTCCTTTTTGCTGCCAACTGGGACCAGAGCAGGTAAATGCAGAGCCACCCACCCACCCTAACCCCTTCTTCACCCGAGGCAACGCATAGGAAAAGCTGTGCCAGAGCAGAGAGAGGCAGTGGGGACACACTGGCTGGGCAGCAGTGTGGAAGGCAGGGGGGGGGAAGAGAATGAGGAAATTAAATTACATTTCATGGCTTAGGGCCTTTTCAACCTGCTCATCCTTCAGGGACTGAATTTTGGGAGGGAAGTAGGAACTGTGCCAGTGCTCTTCTCAACTGGCTGATAGGAGCTTTACACCCTTCTGCCTGCCTTTAGCCGAGGTGAGCTGTCATGGTAGATGATGAGCGTATCCTCCTGAAAAAGGCTGGTTGTGCTCTCCATGCTGGTCTTTCTGCATTGACACACACAGAGCAGCTCAGGTGCCATAGGAGAAAGTGGGTGATGCTGCGTGTAAAACAGGAGTATCCATGATGGCGTTTGAGCTGAAAAGTTCTGTGCAAGAAGCTGAGGCTCCCAAATCCTTTCCCTCAGCTAAAGAAAGCATTTCCTGAGCCACCTGGAAGAGCCAGGATGGAAGTTGCAGTAACCACTTCTTTTCCCTGCTCATGCTGCTCCAAGTGGGAATTCTCCAATCCAAGCTGGCTTTGGTAGCAAATTGAAGGAGGCAAGTGCAGTCCCTAGAACAATTTCAGATCCTTTTTGGGACTGCCTTAGTCTGAAGATGACTTAGCAGGCTGACCCAAGTGCTGTTTCTGACCAAGGCCCATTCTTTTAAGAGTCAGCTTGATACTATGTGACACTATTTGTTTATTCTAAATACCTAATTATCATGCTCAGTTTCTTCCAGTCTAAAATTCTATCTGCAAAATTTGCTTGATTTTCAGATGTAAATGAAGGAATCCATTAAGAGTGTACTCTCTTAAACCTGCTGTAAGCACTGCATAATTTCCCTAGGCTCCCAACCTGCAAGCACGTTTAGCATCTGAAGCACTTCTCAGTGAGAAAACTTGAAATCTTGCTAGTTGCCTGACATGAACCCAGACCATCTTTTGTGCAGTCAACAGAAGTTGGGCATAGGCAGTGCTGAGTGTTCCATGCAGATATCCCAAGCTCAGCTATTTTGAAACATTGGGGGGACATAAATAGCCAGCAGCGTGGATAGAAAGGACTGAATCTGGGGGATAGGCATGCTTAAGCTTGCCCTTTAATTGTTTGTGTAGCTGTTCTTTTGGAGGCTGTGTGGATAGCAACTGCAGGGAGTGATTCCACAGCTCCCTGCACCAGTGTTAACAGCTAGGGATGGCTGCTGGCCCACCATGGATTTCCTCATTTCCAGACACAGTGGCCATATCCACACTGCCTACAGTTAGAGTTTTCTGGCCCTTGCTAACCCATGAATCATGCCCAGTCACTGGGAGAAAGCAGTCTGGCGCAAATCAAAACTGCCCATAACCAGGCAAACAAAAAGAAAGTGCGGATGAACATATGCACAGCTGGTGCCAGTGTCCTTTTCCTGCTTTGGTTTTCTAGCAGATGGAGCAAAGCAGCTGAGTGAGGAAGCAGCGGTGATGAGTCTAATGACTCTCTGCGTGGGCTTCATTTTCCATATGAGGACCTTCCTTTTTTCCCCCTTGAGGATCAGGTCAACTTTTTATTTTAAAAACAACTTCACAAAGTCTTAGAAACCCCTGAAGGAAGAATTAGCAAATAAATAGATACTCTATACTGTATTGTCATTTTTCATTAATGAAAAAAAAAACAAAGCTTTATGTGATGTTTTTCAGGTCATTAGTTCCTAGTCAAAAGAACACCAAGAATTCAAGTTCACAAATAAAGTAGCATTTTAAAAAAATAATTGCAATGTGAAAAGAATAGCTGTATTTTCTTAATTTTGGATGTGCTAATATTTGAATTGATCAGCTGGCACAATAGAAAATGTATTTTTTTCATGAAGTCCTATTGGTACAATTATTATTATCTATTTTATAGTAGCAAAGTGACTGGATTTCACCAGAGTCCCTAATGCTTGCAGTTGTATGCTTACTGCTTTTCAGCACTGCACGCCCACAGTACGCCTCTCCTCCAGAGCAAGGGATTTATTTTCAGATAGACCACTCAGACAAAGGGAAGAGAGCTGAAGCCCAGCTGCAGGGAGTGGTTTGCTCCAAGGCACATGACAACTCAGTGACAGATCTGGGAATGGAGCTAGGTCACTTTCTTTTCTAATTAATTTAGTGTCTTCCATTATCTGATGTTCAGCAACTGAACCTTGGGAGCACTGTGTATGGAACTTATACTAGAACTGCTGTGCAATATGTCTCAAGCTTATTCCTCAACTGACCTGAGAGCTTGTGCATAAAGCACTGCTCCTTTTGCAGTAACAATGGGAGTATTACTCCTTGAAGTCTGTCTTGTTAGGACCTCTTTGTATGCTTCATAAACTGAGTTAATAGAGCACAGCATGCCTCCACATTTATTATGTGTGTACAACTTACTATGGCCAGCATGTAACAATTAGAAATAAAAAGTTCCAATTTGTTATTTAAATGAAGAGCAGACATACTATAGATGATTTATATAGCACCAGCAGCCTATGATGTGCATAGTTCCAATTAGAAAGAAAAGTGTGGGAGGCAGAACATTCCTATGGTAAAACAAGCCTATATACTAGATGTTAAATCACTAAATTGAAGCAGGGCTTGAAAACTGTACCATCTGAACAACTAGATCAGACATGTATTTGAAAAGAACAAGCAAAAAAATGAATGGTGAAGGATAATGCACAGAGTAGCCCAGCAGGTTTCAGTGGGACCCTGCCTTACTCACCACCCTGTCTCTGCTATGGGGAAAGTGAAGACGGGTGGCACTTCTGGCAAGGGCTGGGTGCACTCAGGGAGGAATCAACCTTCCTTATTAGCTTTCAGATTGTTGATTCATAGCTACATTTGACTAGTAGGGGTGTACGTGCATTTGAAGACTCCCATATGCTTCATGTGTCTAGCTGATGGAGTTCTTTTTTTCAGTTAATGGTACAATTAACTTCAACTGTCAGTGGCAAGGGACCTGTTGTCATGCATCTTCTTCTGTATGCTTTATGGCACCTGTACACAAATTCCCCAGGAAAATCAGTCCATTTTGATGCTATTTATTTGAAATCTTTCTTGGCATTATCTCAGAGTTTTTCCTAGAAAGTGCAATAGAAAAGTGCAGGAGAAGAGTGATGCAGTGATACCTAGTTCATCTCTGTGTCACAGTGACCTAGTCAGCTCACACTGTCCTCGGTGAATATGGAAATCCCCTGCACTCATTACCATTAGCTCTGCTCTTGCATCAGATGATTTATAGCAGGGCAAGGACGAACTCCACTGGTTTTCTTTCAGACCTATTCTTTCATGTGCAGAAGGGTTAGAAACTTATCTTCTCCTCCCATTAAATAAAAAAATTAAATAATGTAGCTATTAGGAGTCTGATCTGTTCCTCGGCTCACCATTAACCACATGCTCACTATTAACACACACTTTCTCTTAGTGACCGATGCTATCTTACTGTTTCCTAGCTTTCTCCCAGGTATCTGTATCTGCCTATTACTCACATTTAGACTGAGTGTTTTGGCTAGGGATCTTTTTGATCAACGATAATGTAAAATTTAGATCAGCTTATTCTGCATCTGTGTCTGTGACTTAGACACTGGGCTAACGTAAAGAGCAATGAATGGTATTAAATCTGAATCTAAAAGCTAATCTGGTAAAATATTTGGATCAGTTTCTATTTTCCTGTGCATTTTTGTAACACTGGTGGTGCTTTTTGGTTTTAGAGTAAGGGCTCCCAAGGCATGCTGCCACTATTTAAGCAGAATAGTTGTAAGAGAAGTTTTAATGTTCAATCTTTCCAACATACAAATCTGTACCCAGACTGACAAATCAAGGAGATATGAGGCATCATTTCTGCATACTGCTTTGTGTATCCTGAGAACTCTTATTTCACCGAAATTCTAAAAATATGAAGAGCAGTAGGTTAGAAATAGAATGATGGCTCAGAGACTTGACCAGCATTCCATTTAAATCACAGTGGCATAAGACTTCATTTGACAGAAATCTTTACTTTTCCAAATGGCGATGAGCTTAAAATACAGACTGTGTGTTCCTTACATGTTTGAGACCTTCAGGAGACATGCGCCTTAAATTCTGGGGAAGAAGACTTACCATTTATCTGTTCTAGTTAACTCATGAGAGGCAAACTCATGCCACTCAGTTTTAATTATCAAAATAACTTGAAATTTCTTTATATCGGGGGAGGGATGACAAACAGCAATAGAGATAGTAGGGCAACCCTGCCAAATCAGATTATCTGTTATTCAGAGGAAAAGTGAATTGACAGGAACCAGAATCTGGTTAAACAGATGATACAGTGGATGCCACTCATCATCAAGAACATAAAATATTGAAAACAGCTGACACAGCTCAATTTGACATGAGACATCTGTACCCTGCATTCTTCCTGTCTCTTCTCTTTCTGTTGGCCTGATAGAGATCACAGTGGCCTCTGGGAGTGAAGAGGATGCACAGACCATATAACCAAGAGCTAAAGGTGAAAGATCATAATGAAACACTACCAAGAGCTGATAGCAGTGTCTGCCAGACTGTTTTTCCCAGAAAACCTGGGAAATACTTTGAATCTGTTCATGTCACATAAAAAATTCTCAAAGAACTTTTCTATAAAGGGGAAATTGCTGCCACTGTTAAATTGCAAGAAAGAGGGATGCTTAGTTAATTGTTTGAGCTGTTCTGGTCTTGACAAATTAAGACTTCAGTGAGGCATTACCCTTGTAGCCATCCCAAAGCATTTGAAAGAATCGCTGTCAGTGTGGCTATTATCCCGGGCTCATTGTTTTAAAGTCAACCCGAATGAAAAATTGCAAGAGGTAGCGGAGTGTGTCTGCATACCAGTCCCCACCTTATTTGAACTCAGGCTGGGACTCACATAGAAAAGGAACATTAAGAGTGCATTATATATGTGATAACATATTTCCAGAATTTGTTAATTCACGTTAACAACTGGGCTAAAAAGTTGCCTAAGCTTTCCATCAGGTTAAGCATGGTTCTATAAATAGGGGGCACTAAATGCATTAAAATTAACCACGAGTTCTTGTTTATCATAGTAATTAGTAATACCTTGCTAGCTACAATGCATCCCATAAGAGTCTGTTTAAACAAGTGAATTTAGTCACAAATAAATAGGATTTATTTCTGCACAGCCTATCTCCAAGCTCCTACAGAATACTCACTGCAGCAAGTGAGGCCCAGCACACTGTATGTACCTGATAGCACTGGAAGGGTCATTGTAAAACTAGGGCCAGGGTAAAATGAGTGGTTAGCTGTCTCCTAAGTACATACTATTACTTAAATAGATTAATAAGAATAAAAGAATACCATTTTGGCCTGAGACTGAGCACCATGTTGTCTTAAAATTAAAGGCTAATATGTTGACACTTTGTTTTCTTTAAAGTAGAATGGCAATCAAAGCCATCATGGACCAAATTTATTTTACACTCACTAACATCCCATTTTTCTCACTCTTCATTAGTTGTATTTCTGAACCTATATAGAAAGGTAATTTCAACAACACAGTCCAGAGTAATTTTCCCACCTTCTCTTTACATCGGATTTTAATTTCCCTAAAGTCCAGCCAAGGATGGAGTGTATTTTATGGCAGAGTCTGTGCATCCTGGTGCTGACATGAACAGAAGTAGCAATGAGGTGAAATGCTGGACAATGTGAGGCTGCAGTGGATTAAAGATGAGTCTTTATGCAAATAACTCTGCTGTGTGAAAGCTTTAGTTTAGTTTCTTTAATCTTGTTGCATTTGCTTGGGCTGTTCAGCTGATAACTTTCAGCTGCCATTTGCACTGTCTCAGATTTCATCTATCACACCAGGTTTACATTTCTGGCTCTCCTCAGCACATGTCCAGAGTAAAAGCTGCTTTAAATATCCACTAATGGATTTGTCTTTCTTGTCTGGTTTCCTGTGCTATACTTAAGTAAGGTATTAAAACAAAGAGATGAAGTCCATTACAGGGTGAAGGATAGCTCCTATCTTCAGCTAATTGCTGTGAAGGGCATTTGAGGTAGGAAACTTGGTTGTTAGTGACATGTCCCTGTATACTGATGTGGCTTTTTAGACTTGAAAAGTACTTCATATACCTTCCTCTAGCTGAAAATTGTTTTTGCTTCATTATAGCTAGACCTGTGTTCTTCAGGACTTGTTTTCACAGAGAGGACCACCTTTTGTCTTTTTCAGTGACTAAACATACATTATTATCATTGTTGTTGCGAACTGGCTTTCTTATCCAAATCCTGCAACAGGAAATAAGGTTTTGTGAATGTGCCACAGATTTGTGGAGGCCTAGCTCTGCAGCCATTGGTTACTCCCTGGTGGCTGTATTCCTGGTCTCATTGGTGCCTGACAATTTTCCTGTTGTCTTGAATGAATTCAGGACATAATTAGGTGTGTTTGTGTTTACGTGTATATGTCTATATATTTATCACTTAGGTATATATAAAAGTATTTCATGGCCAGTCTCAAGAGACCTGATTGGCCTTGTAAGCAAAGAATCTTTATGTTTAATGCACCAGATTTCTAGCAGCCTTGTGCCACTAGGGAGCTGTTAATCCAAGGTATGCAGTGTTGTCTTGAGCTTCCCAGGGAAGGCATTAGAGATCTGCATCAGGAACTTGGGACCCATCTTCTTGGAATGGATGGAGTGTGCTTGCAGCAGCCTTCTGGTTTGTGGAGCTCTTCTGCAGAAGGAGATCCTTTAATGGGGCAGCATAAATCTCAAATGGGGTTGAGGCTAATTTGTAATGTCTGTTTTTTGTATGAGCTGTGGTAGATGATCTTCCGTAGACTGAGGAATTAGCTGCTCTCGCAGTGTCTCGCCTGATGCAATTTCCTTCCCAGTACAATGTTTTCCCTGGGAGGGCCTCTTACAGGGTGTATCTCCATCTAAGTTGATGAACTGATAAAAAAAGTACTATTTCTGAGACCTCCATCACCTTGTGGACGTAACCATAGGTTTGAAGGCAGCTGGCTGTGCTCTAAGCCCAGCTCCAATCCTGAACACAACTCTGTAAGCCTCCTTCCTTGAGGCTAAGCGCATGTTTTCATCTCAATGCTGGCAGTTTTACAAAACATGTGTCATACAGGGAATTCTTAGTTGGTGCTCTCCCGTGTCTGTGCACCAGTGTTGTATTGAGTAGGTAGACTTGTCTGGAGATATGCTAGGCAAACTAAGACCTTTTTAGTAGCAGCTAAACCATCTATAGCCTTCATGCTGCCAAACGCTCCCTACACATTCCGTTTTACATGAACAGACTCATTTTGGAAAGAGACAATGAATGATTCTATCTTACCTAAGGTTGCTCTTCACACTGCAGTGCTGGGGGTGTTTGGTTATATAGAGACCTCACCAGTGGTGATGGCATTTTCCTCATGCATCAGTTGGGCTTGGGGGATCTGCTCTGCTTGGGAGGAGGGGGAGCATCAGCCACACCACCATGCCCAAGGTGCTGGCTTTGCCATGCAGATCCTGTGCCCCCAGCTGGGTTTGCTTAGGGCAGACAGGGTGCTCCTGTGTGCCTACTGAAAAAAATAGGGTGCTGGCCTAACATATCTTTGATTATCAAATTGCGCTAACAATTTTAAGGATTCAGGTTTTGACCATTGTCTTTCAAAATAGGTCTCAAGGCATGTCCTTTTTTCCCCATTGACAAAATTCCATTTACAAAAGAGTTGGGTTTTTTCCTTTGTTTTTTTTTTGTTTGTTTATTTTCTTTTTGTTTGTTTGTTTGTTTGTTTTTGGTTTTTGTGGGTTTGTTTTTTTTCTTTTTTGTTTTTTTTTGGCATATAAGGATTTCCATTGGGAAATGACAGATAAAAAATTTTCCTGTGCTGTTTCCTCCCAGCTGAAAAAAAAAAAGAATAAAAAAGAAGGAGCATACCAAGCTTCCTGTAAACCTTAGATCTCAGAAAAGTAAAGCCTCAGAAACAAGATAACTCTCAGAAAAGTGAAAAGGAGAGGAGTGATTACGAAAACTTTTATCCCAGTTGAACAAACCAAATTAAAAACAAAATAAGGTTCTCCAAGATGATGAAAAGTATCATGTCAAAAAAAAATATAATGTTCTCAGGGGAAGACATACTTTCTCTTGTGCACTTGTGTTAGGCTGATATTAAGAGAGTAATTTTATAGTCCCTCTGCTAGGAATGCATAGTTGGGAAGTTCACTGAGTTTTAGTTCACTTAAAAAAAACCAAGATGGAAAGATGTGAGGAGTCAGCCAGAGCTGATTAATTTAATTTGTGTCATTTCGTTTTGCCAATATTTTTAAAATATAGTTGCATACACAAAGGAACAGTGTACTCATTGTGTTAAAGCAATCAGAATTTAGTATAATTTAATAGAATTTTTAAACAGGCAAACATGCTGTTTGCTACATATCTAGTATGGTGCAGATTTCCTTGAGGACTCATAATTTTGAGAACTTCTATGTTTGATGCCATCATAGAAGGCTTTTAAAGGGCCTTATTTAAAATATCTGCATAAACACTAGAAGAATTAACTCTTTATTTTGTTCCTGGTATACCTACCTGGTATTTTTCTGGTTTAGCTTTCTAATGCCGCATCTGTTACTGTGGTGTAGACTGACAATTTACATCTGTTTCAATAACTACTTATCTTACTTTTAAAGAAGTTTTTTAGACCTAAAATATAGTTAGCCTGGAAAAATCAAAATTTAAACAACTATTTTGATAGCTCTTAAAAAAGCCCAAATAATGTTTTAAAGAAGCCAATAAGCTAAAGTGCAAGTTGATTAATAACTATTGAATGGCAGTCTAAAGATGACATTGCTGTATATATTTAAGCTATTTAGCTGCTGTAGTAGGTGCTTTAGCTTCAGAAAAGAAAGATTATACTCAAGAGAGCCTTGGCAATCTGGAATTATGTCTTCTTTCATAAGATCATCAATCTAAGAAAAAAATTATGTGCATAGATGTAAGACACATAATTACATGTTGTACATCTTTGTAAACCCAAATTTAACATAGAAAATCCTAGGACCAATGGATAACACAGTCCAGACTTACTCCTGAAACCACATAATTTGGGCATGCAAAGTACTCTGTACTCAGAACGTAGTTAAGTAATTCTTATAAGGTTGCTCTTGCCCTTAACCAGGAGCACCTCAAAGTCCTAGTGTGTGTTACTTTCTGCTTTAAAGATCCTTGAGTAATCAGCCTTCTGTAATACCTTTTGTAGATTTAAAACATTACCCAAAGAGAGGGACAAGAAGAGCATGTAGGAATCCTTTTTTTAGCTGATAATTTTGTGGAAGCTGTTATTTCAATCCCTGGGAAAAATATAGGAGGAAACTTTGGGTCTAGGCTTCTAGTGTTAGGTTCAGGTTTTGGTATCATGATATTAGAAAAATACAATTTGCACAGATATGTTTGTATAGACATTTAATAAAATGCATAGATACTAAAGCAGCATAGGAGACTGCAGAAAACTTCAAATCTTTCTGGTGTGTTCTGTTCCTGTAGTTTGTTCTGTCTGGCTGATGGTCTACATGAACATAATCCTGCTCCAGAGGGTGAGTTCAACTAATTGAGCTTTTGAGAGTTTCCCAGCTTTACATACCCATGACTTCTGAGGACATGTTTGCACTCTTTGATTTAAACTTTTGACAAGCAGTACAAAGGAAGAGGGCTCAGAATTTGTCCATGTCCATGTCCTGTCCTAACCACATCTCCCCTTAACATTCACAGGTACACACTGGTGGATATTTTGCGCGCCATACTCCTTTCTTTAGAAGCCATGATAGAAGACCCCGAGCTTCAAGTGAATGGATTTGTTTTGATTATAGACTGGAGCAACTTCACCTTCAAGCAGGCCTCCAAGCTCACACCAAGCATGCTTAGATTAGCCATAGAGGGCCTTCAGGTAATATTCTTTCTTTTTCTCATTCTCCTTTGTTTTGTAGTTCATTACAAATCTAAGGGGCTAAAAAAACACCCTAACCAAAACAAAAATCTAAGAATTTTTGAATAGTAAGGCTATTAAGACCTAAAGGTATGGGTAAACATCCAAACTACAGCGGCATAAGCTAATGTGTGAGCTCAGTCAGCTAACTGTAGTACTTCTGGTGTGTGGGCTTCTTCTTTGCCATAAATAAGAGGTAACTTTTCTGTCTTTATAGCCAAGTGGCTGGCTTCCTGTAAATTTAGACTCTAATTTCTGCAGCAGCAAGTTAGAAGCAATCGCTTTATCTTGTAATTTTGCACAGGCCTAATGAAATATGGGTTGCTGCTGCCACACCAGGTTGTTTTTTTCCATTGATTCCATCGGAGACCTGCTCTACATCATTTATCCTGAAAAATACGGGGCACTGTGATTAGACAGTTAGCTGGGATTGTTTACTTACTCAGCCTTCAGCCTGTGCTTGGCTTTTTTGCTAAGTCAGGATTAATTTGAGCAGCAGCTTCTGGGACTGAGTATACAGTGCTCGTTGTAAATGCACTTTACATGGCACAGGCACGTTGGTGGGAAGGATGCTACATAACTCTTGGCTTTCTCCTATGATCTCTAATGCTTATTAAAATGAAAAACTAGAATCTGTAAAATAGTTGTTTCCTGTGCAAGCTTGAGTCACTGTGTTAAAATACTGTTAATTCACTCCTGTGGCAGCATGCCTTGGTTTTACAAGGACATACTTTCCCTCTCTGTGATGTTTTTATCATTTTTACATTTTTATTACTCATAAAACAAAACAGCAGCCTTATCTTTGAACTTTCTTCACTTTGATATTGCTATTTTTTGAGGAAACTTGTATAGCAGTACTATGGAGTTTTGATCTAAATCTTGAAATTGCTTAACCAGTATTCAGCCTGCTGTCACACACCGAAGGGTAGTGACAGTTATGAGACAAAGATCTTGATTTTCATTTTGTGCTGTTTCCATATGCAGTGGTGTGATTCTGTGGCCTTGAGAATTACATTAGAAGGTAGCAGTGAGATATGTGCTGAAACAGTGCTGCATTTCCTTTTATTGCTTTCAAAGTTATTTTCTTTTTTTGTGCTGTTTTTCAAAGTTAGATATTGCTTTCTTGTTTAGAACATGAAAAAATACTTTAGTAGTCTTTGTTTTTAAATGGAGGTGTTTCTTCTTGAGCATTAATCAGAGATGCTTATTTTGAGGAGAGGTGCAGTGGGTAATTGCATGTGAAAATATGCAGAGTCCTGCCAATCTTCAGGTGAGCTCTGAGATTCTGTGTTCTCCTGTCATTGACTGGTTCATTAGTGAGTTAAGGTGAAGTCCTTTGGCTTAATTTGCCTATGTTCCCAGCTTTGTTTGTTCAAATATTCCAAGTCTAATGGTGGCCAGCACCCAGGGCATCATTTTGTGGCCTCTGTCTTCATTCCTGTTGACTTCAGAGATGTAAAACTGGTCATGAAATGCTCTAGAGGAGGGACTGAGAAGGCACGGAAATGTCAATATAAGATAAGACTCTCCCAAGACTAGAGAAATCTGTCCTAATCTGTGACAGGTCTTGCTACTTGTAAACAGCAACTTTTACAAGGCCTTTTATCACAAGCCTTTTGAAGAAATTAATTAGTTGGGCTCTCATAATACAGTGTTTAATTTTCTATGGAGAACCACTGAGGCAATGAGGGCTAACATACTAGCAAAATTGACTCTTTAGTGATATTCCCCCAGTAGTTATACTACTTGGGGGTCTATTAATTTAATTTAATTTAATTTAATTTAATTTTATTTTATTTTATTTTATTTTTTGAATATTTTTCTATATAAAGATATATTAGAATCAATGGAAAGGACTAAAGACAACTGTACTGAGCATCTTAGAGGGAAAAACTCACTTCAAAAGCAATTGCTATCAGTAGGCAAATAAGAGGAAAGCATGGTGGAAAGGTGGTACAGAGAGGCCCTTGGCAAGGCACAGGTTTATTTGAACCTTCTTGCAAGATTTCATGACTGAAATGTTACAATTCCTTACTGTCAATGGGACACCTTTTATTTTGGGACAAAAAATGCATAGCAGAAACATAGAATTATAGAGTCATTTAGGTTGGAAAAGACCCTTAACATCATCGAGTCCAACCGTAAACTTAGCACTGACAAGTCCAACACTAAACTATGTCACTGAGTGCCGTATCTGCACATCTTTTAATTACCTTCATGGATGGTATCTCTGTCACTTCCCTGGGCAGCTTGTTCCAGTGTGTGATAACCTTTTCAGTGAAGAAATTTTTTCCTAATACCCAATCTAAACATCCCCAGTACAATTTGAGGCTGTTTCCTCTCTTTCCTATAATTTGTTGGGAAAAGAGACTGACATCTACCTCACTGCAACCTCCTTTTGGGTAGTCATAGACAGCAACAGGGTCTCCCCTCAGTCTCCTTTTTTCCAGGCTAAACAACCCCAGTTCCCTCAGTTGCTCCTTGTAAAACTTGTGCTCTAGATCCTTCACATCATTCTGAATGATGTCAAAGTAAAAAGTTCTTAATCAGGTGGCATGAAAAAGAACAACTTGCTGTTTATTTATGATCTTTGTAAATACTCTCTGTTTAATCAGAGAAATTGAATTTACTTTGGCTTACAAGATTTAACAGGGCTCAAGATTCTGAACTTTACCGTTTGGAGAATTTAAATATTTGTGTTACTTATGTGGAAAGGGACAGGAAAAGTGGGATTAGTGACCACTGAATTTGATGTTAAGCAAATCCCTTTGCCTCCTGAATGAAATCTACTAAATTTGCATTATATTTACTTAGCTTCCATGGTGAGCAGAATATTCAATATTGTACATACCAAAGAGAGTTGATTACAAGTCATTTCTGGGATCTTCACAAGTGCTTATTTTTTAGGAAATGGCTTTTGAAAGTAAGATAAGTAAATACATAAAGTTTTCCACTGAAGACAAGTTCCGCTGTGTGCTTTGCCTGCATATCTATGTTAAATGGGAGCATGAAGAGAATCGTACCCCTAACTGACTTGTATACATTAGAAAACCCTCCTAGGCAATGTTTTCAGGAAAAAAGCCTTTTCACCATGGAATTTTTAATGTTAAAGCACAGTAATTGTCTGTAAACTAGTGTGAATTTGCAGCGTATCCATCCCAGCAGTGCTGTACCAACCAACTGGTGCAGTGTAGGTCAGTGCTGATTTTTAGATCAAATTTTTTTACTAGCCAAGAGACAAAAAACTCCTGTGGAGACTGGGGCACTTGGCTCGGACTCTTGATGCTCCAGCCCTAGCTCATACACTGGCTTTGTCCTTTTGGAAAAATGGAGTGATACTTTTCCCTGAAGATGCTGGTGGCTACAGTATTTATATATATTTATATATATATATATATATATATTTATATACTCCTCATCAGTGAGAAGGAGGATTTGCACTTAGAGCCCCTGCACCTTCCATAGTAAAGAATCAAAACATAAGCTAATGCAACACATAATACCCTTTGTTTTCTGACAAGGGTATGTCTGGTGCCTGGGTGCCTAGAATTGCCTAAGGGCTCAGAGGTGTGAAACCTGAGCAGAAGGAAAATGTTCCTGGAAGGGTGAGACCAAAACCCATGCCCTGACTTTAGCACCTTGAGTTTGACTCTCCTGAGCATATTCAATGTACAGGTGTTTGTGAATCCATGTTTAGGTGTCTGGTTCTCCCCATTCTTTGATTTCTGTAGCCAAACACTAATTTTAGGCTTGTGAAGGAGCTCATGTTATTCAACAGCTGAGCTCCCAAAAGCAGGGTAGTGTTATAGCATTGTGTGCTTACCACCTGAGTGCTTTGAATAAATCCCTTTCAAAAACTTTGAAAAACTTGACAAAATTTTGCCTCTTTCACCAGCAAGGGATTACAAGACATGATTTCTATTCAGCTCGTAATAGTAGTTGCATACATGACAGATTTGCTTTGTATGTTTTCACTCAGGCAGGCTGTACATCTAAATGCTCTGCAAAACTGCATAGCTATTTGTGGCTAAATATTACTGCTTTTCCTCTAGGTAAAACACTGGGGAAAAAGAGATGATACACATTTAAACTGAGAGCTGAACATATGTGGACAGTCAGTATTGTTGCAGAGGACAGAAGACTTGCTTTTGGATTGAGGATGTTTACAGGACAAGAGAGTGATAGTGTTGTGGGGAACAAGGCAGGTCTTTCAACTGATTGTGTCTTTTTTGTAACAAAGGGGGGATTTGTAAGCTAAAACAAACTCGTTACTATGAACATGAAAGCAAACCAGAAAGATCACAAAGACAGCATGCTTACAGCTGCTATTGCTACCCAAAGCATCTTTCAAGCAGCTGTACTTGTGAGTTGTAAGGACAATATCCCAAATCATATTTGCTGCAGCAGCATTAAGGTGGAAGTGGTAGAGACTAGAGTACAGGGAATCTTATCTAGACATCATGGTTAGTTAACCAAACACAGGCAGTGCTTGAATATCGCCACCTGATTCTGGACTGCGTCTGTACAACCAGCAGGTTGCAGTGTCAAGAATCTGTTAAGTCAGAAACTTCCAGAACTATGGATACCTCTGTAAACAGTATTTTGACTTCATAAAAATACATGGTCACATGCTCTGTGCAGTGCATAAGATTGTTAATAATGAGCTGACGGAACAGTTGCTCAGTCCTAGCAATGAGTATCAATGAGCGGCAAACTACAAAAAAGAGCATTAACTGCCTTTGCATCCAAACTTAAAACCATAAAAACCGCTCATTCAGTGCTTGAATTTTCTGCTCCTTTTTGAGAATAGGATCCTGACATTTCCCATAGTGCTTGGGAGGATATTAAACAGTAGCAGGCTTAATAATCTTCATTTGATACTCTTTGAATGCATGTAATGCCATGTGAGCTGACGCCTCTTTGAAGCATATGGTAAGAAGCAGTAAGCTGAACTCGCCTTT